CGAACATTTTTTGAATTTGTGAACTTTGGGGGGGAGGGGGGGGGGGGTCATGAGCATGTTTTTCAAGAACTTTTTTGAATTCATGACAATTTTTAGTCCTTTATTTTTTTATTTCGTACTCCCTCCGTCCGAAAAAACTTGTCCCAAACTCGTCCATTTGAGGAACAAGCTTTTTCGGAAGGAGAGAGTAAAACATATTTTCAAATTAAGGAACCATTTTTGAATTGATGAAATTTTCAAACTCACATTTTTTTACATTTATGATCTTCCCGATTCAGAATATTTTTTCAAATTCATGAACATTTTTACAATTCATGAATAATTTAATTGGAGTACTTTTTTCCCAAAATTGTAGAACATTTTTTGAATTCATGAATATTTTTTCAAATTCTTAATTTTTGAATTAACGAGCATTTTGAAACTCACGGACTGTTTTTGAGTTTGCGAGCTTTTTTCTCATTAATGAACAATTTCTTAAATTGCCACACATTTTTTAAATTCGTGAACATTTTTATTTCATAAATAATTCTAAATTCATGAACATTTATCAATTTAAAATGGGGAAAACTCGACATAAAAAGTTGAAAAATTTTGGAACTTTTTTATATTTAAAACTAATGAATTAATATACAAGTTAGAAATGAACAATAGGAAAAGAAAACAGCAAACCGTGCTAATGATCGGACGTGCCGATGGCGCCTTCAGCATTGTAGCAGTTTTACATGTCCGTACAAAGTCTCTTCACAATCCTTCTGTCACTGCAGCACCGGCGCCTTCACCATCCACTGGCGGCGCGATCGCTTCACCACCGAAGGTGAATGTGGCGGCGGGGTCCGCCGACGGCTCCGCAACCATTCTCCTGGCAACCGTGGCGACTTCGCTTCTCGCCTTCTATTACCTCTGACGGCCGACATCTCAGCCTCTCTCACGTGTTATGTTGCACACACCTTGTGACTGTGTTGAGCGGTGTTGTAATATGAGTTTACTCTGTTCATCGGGACGGCCTCTCAGTTACTGTTAGTATGATGTACCGTGGACTGAATATTCAGTACGTAGTAAATTGCCATGTACCGTGCACTGAATATTGAGAAGTCGTTGCTAGTTATGACAGTTTGTTGACTTTGGAATGTGTAGATGACTTTGTTGACTTTGAAATGTGCAAATGATCCGCTACGAACTTTTTTGGGTTACGAACATGTTGTTCATGAACTTTTTTGAATTCATGTACACTTTTTAGACTAGCCACAATGATGAGTAACATACATTAGTAACATACACATATCCCTAGACTATATTACTACCTTCATAATGGATAGTAACATAATGATGCTAACATGCAAAACTTCATTTATTAGGTTATAGACTCATATTGCATTGAAGATAAGCAATTTTGCTCAGTTGGACTCGATATTACAGTAACTAGCTAATTTACTATAACTACCTCTCTCCTCATTAAATCATTGCCACATAAGCAATTTTGCTGAGTTGGACTCGATGTTACTACTGAAGTTACTCCCACTGTGGCTAGTCTTAGTCCATTAACTTTTTTGAATTTCGTAAATATATTTTCGAATGAATGAACATTTTTTGAATTGATGAAAATTTTCAAACTCACACACATTTTTTGAATTTATGACTTTTTTCCGAGTCAAAGTGGTCAGACCTTTTCCCGGACCCTGTGCAAGCGGGAGCTACATACACCGGGCTGCCCTTTCAAATTCACAAATATTTTTACAATTCATGAACATTTTGACTGGACAATTTTTTTCCGAAATTCATGAACATTTTTTGAATTCACGGATATTTTTTGAATTCATGAATATTTTTCAAGTCCTTCATTTTTGGAATTGACGAGTATTGTGAAACCCACAAACATTTTTTGGGTTTGCAAACTTTTTTCTGATTCATGAACATTTTTTATAATTGCCAAACATTTTTTAATCCATTTAGTTTTTTCTAATTTCATAAATAATTCTAAATTCATGAACATTTATCAATCTAAAATATAAAAAATGCGACATAAGTTGGAAAATTGTGTAGTTATTTTTTATGTATAACTAATGAATTAGTCCCTCGGTTCCTAAATATTTGTCTTCCTAGAGATTTCAACAAGTGACTACATACGAAGCAAAATGAGTGAATCTACATTCTAAAATATGTCTATATACATCCATATATGGTAGTCCATTTGAAATCTCTACAAAAACAAATATTTAGGAACAAATGGAGTGAAATACAAGTTCAAAAACAAACAATAGAAGAAAAACAGAAAACCGTGTTAGCGACCGGACATGCAAATGTGCCGGCCCAGCCCAGGAGGGCGTGACGCTCTCACCTAGCAATGTGAATTGTCATAACTAGCAATGCGAGACATGGAGCTATCATTACTGAAATAAATCATAGGGCTTTCAATTTTACCTGTAATTTTACTTTTGAAAGTACAACGGCGGACCATGATGCCGATAGACTAACCAAATTTGCTCACTCTTTGGATCAGGGGAGGCACATGTGGATGTCGATCCCGCACAATCCGTTTTGTATGCCACAACTTGTGGATTTTGAGTGAATAGAAACTTGATTGAACCCTAAAAAAAGCCTAGCGATGCGAATTGCTAAAAAAAAGTTGCTAAATAAATAAAAAAATGCTAAAGAAAAAACCCTAGCGATGCGAGTCTCCTAAAAGAAAAACAAAAAACAAAAAACCCTAGCGATGCGAGCGTGCTGGTCGCGTGAAGCGTTACACAGCACCTCCCGATCCCATCACCAATCTCTACCCTGCCCCGGTGCTATCTCCAGTACAACTCCGCCGCCCTCCCCGTGGATCTGCTGCTTCATATTCGCCCGGCTTGACCAAAAGGCAACCCGATGAGTTGACAGACCATAGGCCGATGAGTTGAATTCTACTCTAATTCTACTCAGGAAATCTGCTTCCATTAATCCATCGGCAGCGGGGACAAGGTGATTCAACCTGGAGCGATGGGCGTCCGGCGGTTTCTGAATCTGTTCGCGGCGAACCGCCCGGGCTACAT